CAAAATGTCTCTTCGCCACCAGTGCAACTGTTTAAACGTAGGTGTGCTGTAACTTTAGGAATCACATGACTTGACTGGGTGGAGCCTGAACAAAAACAAGAAGTGGCACAGTTTGTTCCTCAGAAAACAGAAGCAGCGACAGAGGGGCATCGTGCAGTAAACGAGACACACGGGTGTGTCAGACAGAAGCAGCTACCTGTGCAGACGTGTACTCACAGCGTATACTCGGAGTATCCGGTGTACTACGGTACGCAGAGATGGATGCAGTGTGTGAGGATGACCTCTGCTGGCTGCAGCTCGATGAGTTCAGGATGCTGCTCATCAAAACCATCGAACCTTCAAGAATCACTCCCTACCTTCGCCAGTGTCAGGTACCGCAGCACCTTGTCCTACTGCAGCTACACCTCCCCTTCCTCCTGCATTCACCCTCTACCTCTGTCAGGTAATTCCTCCTGCTGCAGCTCTTTATACTAGCTGATATACCTTCTCGTTTTCCTTCAGTCACTTCCTACTTCCTACACTATCAGTTACTCCTCTTCCTCCTACTTCACCTCCTGTTCTTCCTACTCCACCAGTGTGAGGTTCTTGTCCTGCTCCTTCAGTTACTCCCTACCTTAGCTAGTCCCAGGTACTCCTGCTCCGCTGCTGGTGTCAGGTATCCTGCTGCTGCCTCTCCTCCTTGTCCTGCACCTGCCCCTGCCTCTGGTGGTTTGACTGTGGTTGTATCGGTGTTGTCAGGTGATCAGTGTTGAGGATGAGGAACAGCTCTTCAATGACCCTACCCTCGTCATCAGAAGGAGAAAAGTCGGTAAGAAACATAAAGCTCAGATCTGATCACTGGCTTCATGCAGGGCACAAAGCCTGAATCAGAAACAGGTGAAGACCCAGAATCCAGGACAGCGGGGTTTTATGTAGACTTTTACTCACACATCCAGCGTTGTCCTCTTGAGTGACGGCCCAGAATCAAATCATGACATCTGAATCCCTACAGTCTGCTGGATCTTTAACCTACTTACAGCAGGAGTGGTGTCCCCTCTCTTCCTGGTCGTGCTCTGCACTCAGGCAGCACAGCTCTGAACCAGCTGTCACTGCTTTCGAACTGGTAAAAATCAGTTGTGGTGCAAACCCCACATGAGCCCAGATCTAAGTCCAGGATAAGCCCCAGGTTTCTGGTCTGTTGGTCCCGGCTCAGTGCTGGAGGATGTAGTTCAGTGGCCCATTTCTCTGTCTGAGCCTTTGACAGTGTATTTAAAATGTCTTATTATGACGATGCCAGGTCAAACCCGAGCCACTAAGGTCAGGTTGCAGTAACCTCAAAGCCATTCAGGTCTCTGCTGACTGTTTGACCCTTGACCTTTGCTGTGACCACCATCATAGGAGCCCTGCTGGACATCCTGCAGAGGACAGGGGTCAAAGGTTACACGGCCTTCCTGGAAAGTCTGGAGCTAGATTATCCTCAGCTGTACAGTCGGATCACGGGGAAGGAGCCCAACAAGACCTTCAGCATCCTCGTCGGTCTGTCCACCTGTTTACCTGGCTATGTTAATCTGTTTATCTCCTTGTCTACATGCTTACCTGCTCATTTGATTAAAAATTGATTATAGGTTGACTGTGTGCCGATTTCCCATCAATAATCCACCTGCTATAATGTGTATGTGTTCAGACACCGCAGGAGAATCTGGTCTGACTCAGTTCTTGATGTCAGAGCTCAGTCGCCTGCAGAGGGCACTGCAGGATGAGAGGAGACGCCGCCAACAGGCCTGCACGGTTGCCAAGGAACAGGTCGGCATGGCAACCAGGTTACTCAGGAACAGTTAGGGATGGAGAAAACAAAGTGCTGTACTGGCTAAATAGTGGTGCTGGTTTTGTTGTGGTTTCCAGGAGGCATGGTCTCAGCAGCAGCAGCTGAAAGATCATGAGCTGAGGAAGCTCACTGAGCGTGTGCAGAAGTTTCGTGATGAGCGGGAGCGGCTGAGTGAGGAGTTGAAGCAGCTCAGAGATCACAACTACAGTCTGATGGCTGACATCAACACTCTGAGCCAGGAGAAGAGCAAAGCCCTATTAGCCAACAAAGACCTGCAGATAGAGGTCAGCTGACCTCTAACCCTGACCATGTGACACCCCACAGAGATCTGACCTCTGACCTTTGTGTATGTGTGTAGGTGGAGCGCCTGAAGCATACGGTGCTGCGAGCCGAAAGTGAGACGCAACTGCTGAGACAACTGCGGCAGGTAGAAACACCCAGGGATGCAGCAGTACCACAGTACTGAATGTTTTGTTACGAGTAAAAGGACTGAGGTGTTCAAACATGTTTTCAGAGCAGGAATCAGGCTCCGCCCACAGACCCCTTCTTCCACCCCAACAGACTGGAGGAGCAGAAAGAGGACAAGCAGGAGGACAAGCAGGAGGAGAAACAGGAGGAGAAGCAGGAGGAGAAACAGGAGGAGAAACAGGAAGAGAAGCAGGAGGGGAGGCAGAGGGAGAGATTAGCTCCTCATCAGATGAACCTCCTCGCTACAGTGTTCAGACTGAGGAGAGAACTCCACAGAGCAGAGGAGCAGAGAGCCAGGGTGAGAAGGAGGAGGAGGCTGTGCACATAAATTAAAAACTGCATTTACTGTATGCCAGACTCAGCTCCTGCTGTCGTCATGTGAGCCGAAAGTACAGTAAACTGTTTGACTGGCAGCTTGCTGGTGTCTGTGTTTCTGACCCTGCATGCTTTGTTTTTAGATTCTGGAGGAGAAGGAGCAGCTGGGGATGCGCTGCGTTCAGCTGAAGGGAGATGCCAGGATGTACCGCCAGCGAAACAAACAAACCCTCAAACAGCTGGAGGAGGTGATCAGAGAGAGAGACAAGGTGAGGAGGAGTAGGACGGGGGGTGGGGTGTCGGAGAGGATGTCAGAGAATGCAAACCCTCTGATTGGTGTTTCAGGCCCTGGCGTTGCAGGCGGAGAAGCAGGAGGAGGTGCGGCTACTGCTGCAGGAGAAGGATCAATATAGGGAGCAGGTCAGGCAGCTCACAGAGCAATCTGATAGGCTGGAGCTCCTCCTGCTGAGGTCACAAGGGGAGGAGCTCCAGCTGAGGACACGCCTCCGCAGACTCACCTGCAACACTCACCAGGTGAGAAGGGGAGGAGAGTGATGAAGGTGAAGCAGGAGCAGGGTTCTATAGTATTTTATCAAATCGGACCTGTTAGGAATCTCTTATCGAATCTCTGAGGTAGTTTGTTTGTGTAACAGAAGACAAAACTTAATATTTAAGAATCTGTTGAGGCACCTGGTCATGTTAGTGTTGCTGTCTGGATCAGTGGGCAGGCAGCCTGACACTGAGGAGCTGCAATGAACCACGGACACTGGCTGAGCTGAACCCTTGTACCACTGCAGCACAGATTCATTAACCCCGTCCTCACTCACTCTGCTCATCCCTTTGGGGCTGCACATGTCACAGTAGGATTCATTTTACTCTATCGCTCAGCCAGTACCAGCCAAATAACCCTCCGCTGGTGTGCTGCACATTCCACTGAGCGTCAGCTGCGGGTGAACTGGCTGATAGACTGCTCCAGGGCCGGAGTCTTTAGAGTCAGAGAGCAAACACACTAAACAGAACTAAATCAAAGATTTGATAAGCGGTTTGTTTTGGCTGTGAGCTGCCCTGTATAGGTGATGATGTAATGATGAAGGCTCTCCCCTCAGGGTGAGAGGAGTGTGAGCAGTGAGGAAGAGAAGCCAACAGAGAACGCTGGGAAAGGTCAGAATTGTGATAATGGTTAAAATGTCATGTCAAGCTGCATCACGTGACGTGGAGTCATGACTGTGTGAGCAGGCAGCAGTGAGGAGGTTCGCAGCGGGACGTCAGGGGAGAATGAGGAGGTGGCAGCATTGCAGCAGGACAGCTGTCCTCAGGGAGGCGCCACAGAGTCCAAGCAGAAGTCCGGAACTACTGCATCATGGGTAACACCCCTGTCTGCTCTCTGTCAGTAGGTAGAGCCCGTGGATGTCGGCTTGTCCAAAAATGTATTTACCTGTCTCTCGCTGTCTCTGCCTGTCCATCTCTCTCTGCCTGGGTGGGTGTATGTCTTTCTGTCTCTACCTGTCTCTGTCTCTCTGCAGGAGGAGCAGAAAGGCAGCTGTGTGTTGTCCAGAACTCGTCCAAACTTCTTGTACCGCAGGTGAGCACAAACTCTTTTTAAGTGTTAAAAAGTGGAGCACAGATGTCACTGTATCCATCTGAGCATGTTCTTGCTTCCATGACAACAGGAAGCGGGCCCTCAGGTCAAAGTTCATCTGTAAGGACTACACAGCATGTGACCTTGACGACAGCAGTGGCAGTGACATCACCGACTCTGACTAAACACATCTGAGGTCACATGATCCGAGTTATTTACATTTTGTTTTCAGAGCTATTTTCTGTTTGACCTTTTATTCAGAGACTGATTTTAACTCACTGTCATCTCAGCTGAAGTCACATGATGTTGTGTTGCTCTCCTCCTGTCAGGTGTCAGTTTTCACCGGTGTCGTTCTATATCATACGTGTTGCTAGCTATCACTGTTTTCAGGCTGAATTTACAGCGTACCTGCTGAGTTGTGCAGGACCACAACCTCACCAACAAGTGATGAAAAAGGGGAAACTGAGACTGAATCATAGTTTTGAGATAAGTCAAACTCTTAACAATGTCATGATCCCATTAGTCTCAGGTTTTTCTGGCTATATATAATTTTGACCATTCAGGTTCCTGATTTGGCTCCATTCAGCCTGGACTGTGTCTCTGATGGGGGTGTGGTGATTGTACCATCAGCTGCTCTGCTCCCCGATTTAAACCCAGGAAGAGTTTCAGACAGCAGTGAAACCCCTCCATGGAGTTAAAGTGGATCTCTGAGGCTGTTTCCTTCTGTTGCATTTTATCAGTGTAAAGTTTGACTGTTGTGTCAAAATAGGGGAAGTCAAAAATGCTAACAGGAACAACAGGCCTGTTTATGAACCAGCTGTTCTCTGACCCCTGTATCAGTCCACATGTAGTCACAGACTGGGCGATGAGCTTCTCCTGTGTGCACTGTCCCCGTCGGTGTAAATTGTCCCTGGATCACTGGGAGCCTGAAGGAAAAAACGGCAGGATTCTCAGGCAGCCTCTCCTCCTCTGGGTTCTCAGTGGGTTTGTTCTGGAGGGACATTAGAGCTAATGAGATCCCCGGAGGTGGACGTCACACCAACGTGTGCCTCATGTCTGTGAGTTCACATCACAGAGTCAGGACTTTGAGGAGGACAACGACCAGTTCTGACTCTAATTCACCTCACTCAGTGTCTTTACCTTCCCTCAGCTCTGCAGTGCCCCCCCACGGGAACACGTTAGTCTTTGTCCTGCTTTAGGTGCAGGCCTGTTACAGAGCAGATCCTGTCATTTCACCTGGTTTCAAACATCCAGACGTAGGAGTTCAATACCCACTTCCCAGTGTGATGTTTGTCTTGTGTGATTGAAGTTTTAGTCTCTCACTGTTGATCATTTATTACTATGATCCTTTTCTTTGTTTGCATGTGGAGTTTTGTGGAGCGCTCTGGCTCATATGGTAGAAGAAATACTGGTGTGGACTAAATAAATAAATACATTTAGCACATGCTTTGGGGGAAATTTTAACTTTAGCCTTCCCTGTTATGGATGTGGCATTCAGAATTAAATGCCGAGAATAATAATTATTAAAGTAATTGAAGTGAATAAAATTGAGCAGCCATATCTGCCAGATGACAGCAATGACTAATAACTGCTGTCAGAAAAACAATATGACAGGAGGGGATGTGTTCTAATAGATAATTTTTCTGAAAGATTAATCTATATTGTCATTCAGTGATAGGCCTGTAAATAGCATTACACTACTGAATCCCTCTCCCCAACGCTTTTATTCTTGTTTGTCTTTCAGTCACGCCTGGGGGCTCAGTATAACCAGCTACATGTCTGTGCTTACCTGTATATGAATTACCACAGAATAAACTCCTGTTAAAAGCCTGTTTTCTGTAGGAAACCCATCTGTAGCATCTTTTTAAATAATAATAATGACCCTTATTTGGCCGAGTATGTTACACACAAATAAATTTGTTTCCGGTACAGACCTGAGGCAGCCATCTGCGGCGCCATCTCAACCATCGGGGGCAACTTGGGGGATCAGTGTCTTACCCAAGGATACTTGGTCCCTGAGACCAGTGTTATTTGTCTGGGCCAGATGACGGCTGGTTTTGTTAAAAATTACATTACTATGAAACAAAAGAGGCATCGTTTGAATTTTAGCATTGTTTCGCTATTGATCCGGAAATGTCTTTCCAGCATTACTGAATTCAGCCACATCCCGTTGTCAGCGCACTGACCCTAACCCTCCTCTGTGTCTGGGAACGTATATGACATTTACACGTAATGTGAGCTTTAGGTCGTCCCCTCCCTTTCACTCAATCAGGCACATCGTAATAATCTAATATGAGTTCACTCCAAAGACAATGCGCACAGATTTGCTCAAATATAGGTAGGGGCATGTCCCTATTGTCAATATGCAAAGCAATGCCCTTGCTAAAAGGGACTAAAATCATGAGCAATTTACAGGAAGTTAACTCTGAAAGTTACTTTTGAGACATTTCTGCATTGATAACTTTTTCATTAAAGCTATCAAAACTTTATATAATGGTAACAACAGCTCTGTGAAGCTGCCCTTTGGCACATCACCCAGATTTGACATTAAGAGAGGAATTCGCCGGGCTGTCCTATCTCTCCTTACCTCTTCTTACTAGTAGGAGAAGTTCTTAATTTATTAACAAATCAGCATCTCTTTAAAGGCATCAGCTTCAATGATAGGCAAATAAAAATTTCGCAACTAGCTGACGACACTACTTTATTTCTAGAAAGTAAAACTGAAGTCTCTCATGCTTTATCTGTTGTAAAAAACTTCTCTAAAGTGTCTGGCCTCAACCTCAATTTAAGTGTGAGATCTTTGCTGACCCACACAAACACAAAATACAGTACTGCTTCTTGCACATCTGTGTGTATTGTAGGCAGTCGTGTACCTACACATTCCAGCCACATCCGTCGCATACTTGGAACATTTTTGTCGACACAAACCACACTTGGCAACCTGTCTGAAACTTGTGTGACATTGAGCAGACATTTGGACAGTTGGGATCAAAGGCAGTGATATACTGTTAGCAGCTGCATGGATAGGGAAAAAAACAAGACAAGGAGATAGTACTTTGATAGATATCAGAACATTTGTCAGGCATCTGTCTGTGCTTATTATATGGCTGAGCGATGACTATATTTAGGAATTATGATCACAGAGGATGATAAATTGATTAATGATAATTTGGACCCTTTAATTTCATCAGTCAAAATGAAATTCAACTCTTGGTTAGCCAGAGATTTATCTCTATACAGTAGAGTCCTACTCGGCAAAGCAGAGGGCCTGTCAAGAGCCTCGTATCTTTTCTCCTCAATTAATGTCACCAAACAGAAGACATCTTGCTTAGACAGACTTCTTTTTGATTTCATTTGGAAAAATAAACCACACAAGGTTAAAAAGGAAATTATGTGTTTACCTCTTACAGAGGGAGGGCTCAGTGTTTTAGATTTCTCTTTTTTTAACCATATTATAAAAATCAATTGGATTTTTACATATGAGTTGGGAGTAGGCCCATGGTATAAGCTGGTGGCTTCAAGGTTAAAAAGGAAATTGTGTGTTTATCTTGTACAGAGGGAAGGCTCAATGTTCTAGATTTTTCTTCATTTAGCCATATTATAAAAATTAATTGAATCAAAAGATTTCTAATAAAATCCAGATAGCATGTGGAATATCATTCCAAATTTCCTATTTAAAAAGGTTGGTGGTTTAAATTTCTTATTAATGTGTCCCTTCACTGTGGGCAAGCTCCCAGTCAAACTCTCCAACTTCCATAAATCAGCCTTTATGAGCTGGTCTCTATTGTATAAGCACAACTACTCTCCTCATAAATATTTTTATGGAATAATGCCATTATCACTTACAACAATGAATGCTTGTTCTTTGAAAACTGGTTTAACAATAACATTGTACTTGTAAAGCAACAGTTTAACTGTGATGGGGTTCTATTGTCATATGAGCACTTCATAGCTAAGTACAGGGTTCCTGTCTCCCAGCATGAGTATAATACTATTATCAATGCACTTCCGTCTGGCATTCTCTGTTTAGCATGCTCCTTCTCAAACACACACAACTCTATCAATTTAGATATTGCTGTTAATGGCACTTCTATCTTTGATAAAAGATTAAACAACATCTTTATAAGAAACTCCCTCATTCCAAGAACAACAACAGCTGTTAAACATAAATGGGAGGACATGGAACAGTGTTTTTACTTTGCCCTACAAATTTGTCTTGTCCAACAAAGCTAAAGAACTTTCCTTTAAAATCTAAAATAAATTTTACCCATTAAACTCTAGTGTTTGTAAATATCAAATCAAATTTTATTTGTATGACGCCAAATCACAACAAAAGTCATCTGAGGACACTTTACAAAGTAAGGTCTAGACCTTACTGTTATCACTATTATTACATGGGGAAAACCCAACAAATCCCCCTTGAGCAAGCACTTGGCGACAGTAGGGAGGAAAAACTCCCTTTAACGGAAGAAACCTCCGACAGACCCCGGCTCTTGGTGGGCGGCCTTCTGCCTTGACCGGTTGGGGTGAGTGGATAGAGGAGAGACAAAATAAGAAAAGCAACAAGACACAACAAGCAAACACTGGTCAGGTTAATGTGGTCGGTGACTGCTCATCAGAAACATAGAGCTCCAGAGCCAGGGCAACCTG